CAATGAAGAGGATAAAAAGCATTATTTCACACTGGGATTCTTTCTTCTTCTCCCAGACAATTGGCTGGCACCAATTGTATTGATTGGCTTTTCCCCAAAAAATGTTTGACAAAACCCTGTGTTTTACCTATGTTTTAAGGACATACCTGTGCAGTGTTGAGGTACTGTAGGGTGAAGTCCCAGAGCAGGAAGAGGCAGCGTCCAGGAGCAGGAACTGGAAACCAGCAGAGGTGATACAGGGGGCATCTCCAGCCTCACTGGAGGTGGGCAAGAGATGTAGGATCCATGAGGATGGAGATAAGAGAAAGAGGGATTTAGAGAGGAACATAGAAATTCAAAAGAATATTTGGTAGACTTTCATTGTGAAAACACTTTGAAACAGAGAAATGTCATTCACAAATTATCCCGAATACAGGTAAACTAGTAATAGTAAAATATGAATGGCGAGAAATTAAGAGTGTGTGTTAGTATAACACTGAGTTCATAGCGGTCCCTCAGTGGGGTGGTACCTAAGTTCTCATGAGGCCACCCTGAATGAGGAGCTGGGACAGATCTTGGCTGATTGCAGCACTGGGACAGCCCACCATGAAGTGGAGTATAACCTCCCAGCGCTCCAAGGCACACTTATCCAGACTCTCCACGTCACGGGTATGTCTGTCAGGACCCAGACTGTCACCCTGGTCTGCCCGCTACTTACCCCTGAAAAGAGGAGAGGAAGTGGAGGAGGAGAGGGAGGAGGAGGAGGAGAGCATGAGTATATTTGAACACATGAGCCATAAAAAATATATGTTTTCACTAGCAAGTTTAAGCTTTGGTAATTCTACTGCTGGCATATTAAGCCCCCATGTGGTACTGTAGATACTAAGTACCCTACAAAAGAAAGAGTTGACTTATCCTCCTAGCAATGCTATCCTCTGGTTGTCTTTAAATACGGGGTTCAGAACGTTTCCCTGCAAGCCTCCCTGTAGCTGCTGGCTGTGCCATAGTCTGAGACCAGACAGCACAGAGACACACTGATCATGGTCCCCGAAGAAAGAGAAGGAAATCAACCCATTTTAGACTAGAGTCTGGAGAGTTTCAAGTTTTAATGTCACATGCACAAGTACAATGAAATGCCTTTCCTGTAAACTCTAAACACAACAATGCAGTAATCAATAACAATGTAAAACTAAAAATAACATATGATAGAACAAAAACACACGAGAAATAAAAAATAAGAACACAAGAAAGTAAGAACACTATATATAGAAAGTGTGTTAACACGGGTGCTTGTGGTTCAAACAAGCATTTACATCGCCATTTTTTATTGATGAGAATGTTTTACCTGAGGGTTATCAGAAATGGCCTAAATAATTCATAGAAATCTATACATTCGGCATCTTCTTTCCTCAGCAAGTTTACAAAGACAGTTGACGCCATGCCGGATGGTCACGTGATTTAGACCGCCACAAGGGGGAGCCTTCTGATTGGAGCAACTGCTTTTGCCGCACTCAACACAACAGTGAAATGTAAATGTGGTGTTTACTTTAATAAATAAAGATGACCAAAATAATACATTGTTAATTTACACATTTGTAACCATTAAGTATGTTATTAAGGCAAATTCACTGTCATTACCTGATAGTGTTGACAAAAGATCCCAGTGCTAGCTGTGCCACTAGAGATCCTGGTTCGAATCCAGGCTCTGTCATAGCCGGCCGCGACCGGGAGACCCATGGGGCGGCGCACAATTGGCCCAGCGTCGTCCAGGGTAGGGGAGGGAATGGCCGGCAGGGGTGTAGCTCAGTTGGTAGAGCATGGAGTTTGCAACGCCAGTGTTGTGGGTTCAATTCCCACGGGGGGCCAGTATGAAAAATAAAATAATGTATGCACTCACTAACTGTAAGTCGCTCTGGATAAGAGCATCTGCTAAATGACTAAAATGTAAATGGTAGAAAGGAGAAAAGCAAACATGTTCTAAAGACAAATAAACTCAGCAAAAAAAGAAACTTCCTCTCACTGTCAACTGGTGTTTATTTTCAGCAAATTTAACATGTGTAAATATTTGTATGAACATAAGATTCAACAACTGAGACATAAACTGAACAAATTCCACAGACACGTGACTAACATAAATTGAATAATGTGTCCCTGAACAAAGGGGGGGTCAAAATCAAAAGTAACAGTCAGTATCTGGTGTGGCCGCCAGCTGCATTAAGTACTGCAGTGCATCTCCTCCTCATGGACTGCACCAGATTTGCCAGTTCTTGCTGTGAGATGTTACCCCACTCTTCCACCAAGGCACCTGTAAGTTCCCGGACATTTCTGGGGGGAATGACCCTAGCCCTAGCCCTCACCCTCCGATCCAACAGGTCCCTGACGTGCTCAATGGGATTGAGATCCGGGCTCTTCGCTGGCCATGGCAGAACGCTGACATTCCTGTCTTGCAGGAAATCACGCACAGAACGAGCAGTATGGCTGGTGGCATTGTCATGCTGGAGGGTCATGTCAGGATGAGCCTGCAGGAAGGGTACCACATGAGGGAGGAGGATGTCTTCCCTGTAACGCACAGCGTTGAGATTGCCTGCAATGACAACAAGCTCAGTCCGATGATGCTGTGACACACCGCCCCAGACCATGACGGACCCTCCACCTGCAAATCGATCCCGCTCCAGAGTATACGCCTCGGTGTAACGCTCATTCCTTTGACGATAAACGCAAATCTGACCATCACCCCTGGTGAGACAAATCCACGACTCGTCAGTGAAGAGCACTTTTTGCCAGTCCTGTCTGGTCCAGCGACTGTGGGTTTGTGCCCATAGGCAACGTTGTTGCTGGTGATGTCTGGTGAGGACCTGCCTTACAACAGGCCTACAAGCCCTCAGTCCAGCCTCTCACAGCCTATTGAGGACAGTCTGAGCACTGATGGAGGGATTGTGCGTTCCTGGTGTAACTCGGGCAGTTGTTGTTGCCATCCTGTACCTGTCCCACAAGTGTGATGTTCGGATGTACCGATCCTGTGCCACTGCGAGGACGATCAGCTGTCGGTCCTGTCTCCCTGTAGCGCTGTCTTAGGCATCTCACAGTACGGACATTATAATTTATTGCCCTGGCCACATCTGCAGTCCTCTCCTTGCAGCAAGCCTAAGTCACGTTCAAGTTCATGCAGATGAGCAGGGACCCTGGGCATCTTTTTTTTGTGTTTTTCAGAGTCAGTAGAAAGGCCTCTTTAGTGTCCTAAGTTATCATAACTGTGACCTTAATTGCCTACCGTCTGTAAGCCGTTAGTGTCTTAACGACCGTTACACAGGTGCATGTTCATTAATTGTTTATGGTTCATTGAACAAGCATGGGAAACAGTATTTAAACCCTTTACAATGAATATTTGTGAAGTTATTCTGATTTTTACAAATTATCTTTGAAAGACAGGGTCCTGAAAAAGGAACGTTTCTTTTTTTGCTGAGTTTATTTTAATTACACAAATCACACTTGAAAATCTCTGCAGACAAACATCAATATTCAAACCTCATTCAAAATACTGCGGCTGCAATCAAACTGATGCAGCAAAGGCAAGCGATTGAAATTCTTAGCACCCCGGAGCAACTATCCTAAGCCTCATTACAAGTAATGAAGGGCAAGGAATAGCATACCAATTGTGCTTTCTCCAATAAGATCTCAAGTTTGCATTACATTGATCAAACACATTCTTGTTTACAGACAAAAGTACAGGTGCGTCAAAGCTGGGGCCGAGAATGAAAAACAGCTTCTATCTCAAGGCCATCAAACTGTTAAACAGCCATCACTAGCACTTTAGAGGCTGCTGCCGATAGACATAGACTAGAAATCACTGGCCACTTTAATCATGTTTACATATCTTTCATTACTCATCTCATATGTGTATACTGTATTCTATACTATTCTACTGTATCTTAGTCACTTTAATAATGTTTACATATCTTGCATTACTCATCTCATATGTATATACTGTATTCTATACTATTCTACTGTATCTTAGTCCATGCCGCTCTGACATCGCTCGTCCATATATGTATATATTCTTAATTCATTCCTTACTTAGATTTGTGTGTATTGGGTATATGATGTGAAATTCTTAGATATTACTTGTTAGATATTACTGCACTGTCGGAGCTAGAAGCACAAGCATTTCGCCACACCCGCAATAACATCTGCTAAACACGTGTATGTGACAAATACAATTTGATTTGAGAAGAATACTGATGGAGGTCCAGGGGAAATGGGGAAGCATCTCGATCTCTTCTCAGGAATCCTCTTTCTCCTGATATCTGTATGCATAAATTAAATCACAATAAGTAACTTATCCAGTCATAAGTAAACATGTGGACTATATACAGCAGGGTTCTTCAATTCCGGTCCTGGAGGGCCGAAACACCTCTGTTTTTCATCCTCTCCTTTCTAATTCAGACCTGGGACACCAGGTGAGTGCAATTAACTACCAGGTAGAAATAAAAAACAGAACTGTTTCAGCCCTCCAGGACCGGAATTGAAGAACCCTGATATACAGTTTGTGGGGTAAGTGCTTGTCACACTGTGGGGCAGAACAACATAATGTGGTCCTCTGTAGCTCAGCAGGTAGAGCACGGCGCTTGTAACGCCAGGGTTGTGGGTTCGATCCCCGGGACCACCCCATACGTAAAAATATATACACACATGACTGGGGCGGCAGGTAGCTTAGTGGTTAAGAGCGTTGTGCCAGTAACCGAAAGGTCGCTGGTTCTAATCCCCGAGCCGACTAGGTGAAAAATCTGTCGATGTGCCCTTGAGCAAGGCACTTAACCCTAATTGCTCCTGTAAGTCGCTCTGGATAAGAGCGTCTGCTAAATGACTAAAAATGTAAATGTAAAAATGACTGTAAGTCGCTTTGGATAAAAGCGTCTGCTAAATGGCATATTATTATTAAAATGGAATAGATTGATGAATCTGGTGGTGAGAACTGTTCAGAATGCCCTTGGTGAATTGGTGTTTGAGTGAGATGTAATAGGTTCTACATTACCTGCAGTGTATACAGGTGAAGAAGACTGTCTGTCCTTCATCTGCAGATCTCATTTGTCTGGTGTGATAAACCATCCCCTCTTTATTGCAGCGAGAGCAGCGCCTGTCAATCTAGAATGCAAGAGTTTGAGGAGGTTATAGAGAGAGAACATACATTGATACATAATAGTATTATTATTACACGGTTATGCTGTAGATTTCTATAGAGGTTACAGACAGAACATAGCCTAAATGGAGTTTCTTGAGTATTGATAAAGTATGTTTCATTTTAAAATTAAAATGGTCCTCTGTAGCTCAGCTGGTAGAGCACGGCGCTTGTAACGCCAAGGTAGTGGGTTCAATCCCCGGGACCACCCATACACAAAAATTTATGCACGCATGACTGTTAGTCGCTTTGGATAAAAGCGTCTGCTAAATGGCATATTATTATTATTATTATTAAAATGGGACCATTGATCATTTATGAATAGGAACATCATTGCAATAAATTCCTACCACAGCCCCCTTGAGTTCTGAGTCCTCCTCCTCCACAGCAACAGAGGACACTTCTAGAGGATTAAAGACGACTGAAGACCTGATCTCTTGACCTGAAAATTCTGATAAAGATGACACAAAAACATAGTTACATCATGGGTCATATACTTATGAAAATATCAAATTGATAAAAGGAAACTGTCCGGATGAAATACAATATTGTGGTCCCAGATCTGTTTGCGCTCTTGCCAACTGCATTGCCCGTCATTGTCAAGCCAAACATGTTTGGAATGATGATGTGACAAGCAATTGGCATGAAAGCACAAACAGACTGGCACTTAGGCTAGTTGTTGTCCACTTTAGATTAGGATTCTGTCTGTTAGTAGGCTACAATATTATTTGACAACAAACAACCCATCCTCACCGCGGACAGGTAAGCTAAAAGCACAGCGTGGACAGGTGACTGAGTCCTGCAGCCCAGGTAGAGGCAGTACGTTCCCACACTCAGGACAAAAGTTGGGATCTCCACGGAAACACGACATCACTGGCTTTGGAAAAAATATATATATATTTCAGTGAACAACGTCAGCAACATTTTGGGGGTTGTCCATAAGTTACAGCTAGCTAGTTACGTTGCTTGCTAGTTAGCCACTTATTTAGCTAGCCAGTCAACACGTGTTTAGCTAATAATACACTTATTAATTTTTTTTTGAACACATCACTAGCTGTCAAACAAAAATGTATCCCGATACCACTTTCAGCGCGGTTCCCAGTCTTACCTTCTCTGTAGACCTCGATGTTCGAGCAAGTTTCCAACGTGTTGTTATTTTTCGTGAAGAATGTATCTGGCAAAATGTGCAGGTCGCCGTTTGTGGACATTCAACGCATGCTCACACAGTCGCACGTTGATTACGTATTTAAAAACGCTAGCTCTCATTTGCAAACGCTGTAGCTACATTTCACTTCACCACGAATAAGGTAAACATGCTCACTAGGAAATCAAAACATATATCTGAAATATTGATTGTGTGTTCATTTTCCATGTTGCACATCGTGTAGAGTAGCTAGCTAGAAAGCTTGTCAAGCTAAAGAAGCTAGCTAGCTAGACCAGCCAACTCACGGGTCGTGTTTGCGAGCCAGCTAGCTACTCATGTTGACACACGTGATAATCTAACAGCCCTAATTAATAGCGTTAGTTACGAGTACATTTACTTGTTTCCTTCCACAACTTGTCATGAATGGAAATGAAGCTAACATGAAATGAAACTTGTTTTCCTAACCCTCTCATCATAATCACCATCATCACCACACAGTTTAGCAACAAATGAACGTCCCGTGTAGCTCAGTTGGTAGAGCATGGTGCTTGCAACGCCACGGTTCGATTCCCACGGGGGACCAATATGAAAAAATGTATCCACTCACCCTAACTGTAAGTCTGCTAAAATGACTAAAATGTAAAAATGTTTTATGGTCGCGTACACAGATTTGCAGGTGCAGCGAAATGCTTGTGTTTCTAGCTCCAACAGTGCAGTAAAAATACCTAGCAATACATTTAAAAAATACACATATAATCCTAAGAAATATCAGAACGAGTCCGGAATATAGATATATAATGTATATACATATATATACATAATGGTGTGTACAACATTAGTTATATAGGATGAGCCATGACTACAATACAGTATATACATATATAGTGCTTCATGCACTATGATGGGGGCATTTCATGTCCACATGAAGTGCATTCGGAAAGTATTCAGACCCCTTCCCGTTTTCCAAATTTTGTTACGTTACAGCCTTATTCTAAAATGGATTCAAAAATAAATACATCTCATCACACAATACCCTATAATGACAATTTACATAATTATTCAGACCCTTTGCTATGAGACTCGAAATTGAGCTACAGTGCATCCTGTTTCCATTGATCATCCTTGAGATGTTTCTACAACTTTATTGGAGTCCACCTGTGGTAAATTCAATTGATTGGACATGATTTGGAAAGGCACACACCTGTCTATATAAAGGTCCCACAGTTGACAGTGCATGTCAGAGCAAAAACCACGGCATGAGGTCGAAGGAATTGTCCGTAGAGCTCCAGGATTGTGTCGAGGCACAGATCTGGGGAAGGGTACGAAAAAATGTCTGTAGCGTTGAAGGTTCCTAAGAACACAGGTGCTTCCATAATTCTTAAATGGAAGAAGTTTGGAACCACCAAGACTCTTCCTAGAGCTGGCCGCCCGGCCAAACTGAGCAATCGGGGGAGAAGGGCCTTGGTCAGGGAGGTGACCAAGAACCCGATGGTCACTCTGACAGAGCTCCAGAGTTCCTCTGTGAAGATGGGAGAACCTTCCAGAAGGACAACCATCTCTGCAGCACTCCACCAATCAGGCCTTTATGGTAGAGTGGCCAGACGGAAGCTACTTCTCAGTAAAAGGCACATGACAGCCCGCTTGGAGTTTGCCAAAAGGCACCTAAAGACTCTCAGACCATGAGAAACAAGATTCTCTGGTCTGATGAAACCCAGGGACTGTGAGACTAGTCAGGATCGAGGGAAAGATGAACGGAGCAAAGTACAGAGAGATCCTTAATGAAAACCTGCTCCAGAGCGCTCAGGACCTCAGACTGGGGCGACGGTTCACCTTCCAACAGGACAACGACCCTAAGCACACAGCCAAGACAACGCAGGAGTGGCTTTGGGACAAGTCTCTGAATGTCATTGAGTGGCCCAGCCAGAGCCCGGACTTGAACCCAATCGATCATCTCTGGAGAGACCTGAAAATAGCTGTGCAGCAACGCTCCCCATCCAACCTGACAGAGCTTGAGAGGATCTGCAGAGAAGGATGGGAGAAACTCCCCAAATACAGGTGTGCCAAGCTTGTAGCGTCATACCCAAGAAGACTCACGGCTGTAATCGCTATCAAAGGTGCTTCAACAAAGTACTGAGTAAAGGGTCTGAATACTTATGTAAATGTGATATTTCAGTTCTTTATTTTTTATAAATGTGCAAAAATGTCTAAAAACCTGTTTTTGCTTTGTCATTATGGGGTATTGTGTGTAGATTTAATCTACACACAATCAATTTAATCAATTTTAGAATAAGGCTGTAACGTAACAAAATGTGGAAAAAGTCAAGGGGTCTGAGTACTTTCCGAATGCACTGTATATCGCTCATTGAACCACAGATCAAAAATATTTGTACTTAGAAACCCTCCCATAGGCTGTCCATACAGAAACAACTCTATATTATCAGCAACTTTCTTCTTCGAGAATAACATACAGCAAGACTTCACCACTGACAATTTAAAACCCCAGTCAATCGACCATCTTTCAGGTCTACCAGCATGGTTTTGACTGCTCCTACAGTTTTGCTTCGGTATTGCAGTTTAACTAATGCCTGGCCCAGAAAGACAATTTCCAAGGCTGTAACGTAACAAAATGTGGAAGTAGTCAAGGGGTCTGAATACTTGGTAGGTTGAAAGCGTCTCCTTGTTATGTACTGACAGGTTGATGGGACCACCCGACAGCACGTGCTTATGACTGTGTCTCTGTCTCTGTCTCCCTCTCTCTCTCCTCCCTCACTCTATCTCTACCTAGCAGGATGACTGAGCAGGATGTGGAGAATGAGCTCTTGGACTATGAGGAGGATGATGTGGGAGATCTGTCAGGAGAGGATATTCTGGCCATTAAGAAGGAGCGTGTGAAGGGCTCCTATGTGTCCATCCATTCCTCTGGTTTTAGAGACTTCCTGTTGAAGCCTGAGCTGCTGAGGGCTATAGTGGTCTGTGGCTTTGAGCAACCTCTGAGGGTGAGTACAAGTTAGGTTATAACCACGGGCTGCACACCACATCACAGAGATCACAGATCTGGGTCGTATTCATTAGTGCACACTAGCAAAATGGTTTGCAACGGAAAACGCTTTACGATGAATCTGAGTGTTTCTCATTGGTCATGTAGTTCAGATAGGTCCCTTTCTGTTTTGGCCTGTTTGGTTCCTAGTGAATACATCCCAGCTTCAAGCCAAAGTGCCACGATTAATCATGTCAAAGTACTGTATCAACTTTCAAACTATAATCAGGAAGTAATAGCATCATGATTTGGTATATTGGGTTTTTGATTTAGTCACTTAGTTGATTATGAAGTAATTACTATACCATTATTATTTATTAATAATTTTGGATGACTATTTCCCTTTCAGTTCAGCATGAGTGCATCCCCCAGGCGATCCTGGGGATGGATGTGCTCTGCCAGGCTAAGTCTGGTATGGGCAAGACGGCCGTGTTTGTTCTGGCCACCCTACAGCAGCTGGAGCCTGTCACTGGACAAGTAATCTCTCTCTCTCTCTCTCTCTCTCGCTCTCTCTTTGCCTCAGCTCTCTCTTTGCCTCAGCTCTCGCTCTCTCTGCCTCATCTCTCGCTCGCTCTGCCTCATCTCTCTCACACTCTGCCGCTCTCTCACCTCTCTGCCTCATTTCTCTCTCTCGCTCTCTCTGCCTCATTTCTCTCTCTCTCTGCCTCATCTCTCTCTCTCTGCCTCTCTCTCTCTCTCTCGCTCGCTCTGCCTCATCTCTCTCGCCTTCGCTCTTGCCTCATACTCTCTCGCTCAGCTACTGGCCTCATCTCTCTCGCTCGCTCTGCCTCATCTCTCTCGCTTGGTCGCGTCATGCCTCATCGCTCTCTGGTCCCGCTCTGGCCTCAGGCCTCGGCTCTCCCTCGCTCCTGCCTCAATCGCTCTCTCGCTCTTCCTCATAGCTCCTCGCTCTCTCGCTCTGCCTCATCGCTCTCTCTCTGCCTCATCGCTCTCTCTCTCGCTCTGCCTCATCGCTCTCCGCTCTGCCTCATCTCTTTCTCGCTCTGCCTCACCTCTATTGCTCTCTCTCTGCCCTCATTTCCTCTTCCTCTTTTACTTCTTTGCCTGATCCCCTAGGTTGCTCTTTCCTGTGTTTTTTTTTCCCCGTTGCCCATTTTTTTCCATCCCTTTTTCTTCCCAATCTTTCCCCTCCCCTTTTTTTTCCCCCTTTTTCCCTGGGGTTTTCTTTCTTTGGCCGTATTCCTTCTGTTGTTTTTCCCCCCTTTGCCCATCCCTCCCCGGGGCCTCATTTCTTTTTTTCCCCAAAAACTTTCCCCCTTTATCTTTTTTTTTTTTTGTACTTTTGTATTTTTTTTGCCTTTTTTTTTTTGTATTCCTTTCCTTCCTCCGCGTTTGTATTTTTTCCCGGGCTTTTTTTCCCCCCCCCTTTTCCCCCCCCTGCCCCTTCCCCCCCGCCCCACCCTTTCCCCCTTCCTTGTCCTCTCTCTGTACTTCTCTCCTCGCTCATCTCCCCCCCTTTCCCCTTTGCCTCCCTCTTTTCCCCCCTTTCCCTCTTCCTCTTTTTCCCCTCTGCCCTTTCTCCTCGTTTCCCCCCTTTTTCCCCCTCCCTCATTTCCTCTCGCCCCCCCCCCTTTTCTCTCTTCTCCCTCTGCTCTCTCTTTTGCCTACCCTCTTCTCTTTTTTCCCCTCTCTTCGGCCTCATGCTCCTCCCCTTTTCCCCCCTTTCCTCCTCCCCTACGTCCTTTCCTCGCTTCGCTCTCTCTTTCCCTCCTTTTCCCCTCCGCTCTTTTTCCCCCTTCCCCCCTCCCCCGGCTCTCTTTCCTCATCGCTCCCCTTCTCTGCCTCATCTTTTTCCCCCTCTCGCTCCCCTCATCTCTTTTCGTCGCCTACCTTTTTTTCCCCCTTTCCCTATTCTTTCTCTCGCTCGCCTCTTTCTCCCCCTGCCTCTCTCTCGCCCCCCCTCATTTTCTTTGCCATCCTCTTCTCCCCCCCCTTTCTCCGCCTCTCCCCGCTCTCCCTCTCTCTCCTCTGCCTCATCTCTCGCTCTGCCTCTCTTTTCCCGTCTGCCTCTCCTCCCTTTTGCTCTCCCCCTTCCTCCCTCCTCTCGCTTTTGCCTTCTCCTCCTCCTCCTTTTTCCTCCCCTCTCCCCCTCTCCTCCTCCTGCCTCTCTCCTCTCGCCTCCCCCTCCCCCCTTCGCTCCCCTCCTCTCTCCCCCACTTCTCTCGCCTGCCTATCCTCTCTCCCCCTTTCCTTTCCCCCTTTCCTCCCCCTTCTCCCTCCTCTTCTCTCGCCCCCCCCTTTTTCTGCCTCCCCCTTCCCCCCCTTTCCCCCCCCTTTTTTCCCTTTCCCTCTCTCCCCCTTTTCCTCTCTCTCTCCCCCCCCCTTTTCTTCCTCGGCTTCTTCTGGCTCTCTCTCTTTTCCTGCCTCTCCCTTTTCCTCTCCCTCATCCTTTCCCCCCCTCCCTCTCTTTCCCGCCTCATCCTTTTTTCCCCCCCCTCTCTCTCTGCCCCCCCTTTTTCTCTCCCCTTGTTTCTTCCCTCTCGCTTTTTCTCTCCTCACCTTGCCTCATCTCCCCTCTCCCTCTTTTCTGGGCCCCCTCATCTTTCTCTCCTTGCCTCATCTTTTCTTCGCTCTGCCCATCTCTCTCCTCGTTTTTTTCTCTTTTTCGCTCGCCCACCCCCCGCCTTCCCCCTTTCTCTCGCTCTCTATGCTCTCTCCCTCTTTCCCTTCCTCTCCCCCTCTCCTCTCCTACCTTTTTCGCTCCCCCCTTCGCTCCTCTCCCCCCTTGCTCATCCCCCTTTCCCCCCTTCTCCTTTCCCCCCTTCTCGCCTCTCATCCTTTTCCCTTCCCCCCCTTTCCCTTCTCGTCGCCTCATCTCCCTCCTCTGCCTCATCCCCTCTCGTCCCCTTTCCAAAAACCCTTTTCCCTCTCTCTCCTCCTCTTCCTCTCTTTCTCTCCTCTTCCCCTTTTTTTCCCCCTCCTCCCCCTTTCCCTTCTCTTTTCTCTCTCCCCTGCCTCCATTCTCTCTCGCTCCCCCCTTTTCCCCCCCTTTCTTTTCGTTTGCCTTTCCTCTCCTTTTTTTTTTCCCCTCCTCCCTCTCCTTTCTTCGCCTCCTCTCCCTCCCTCCCTTCTCTCCCCTTTCCCTCTTCTCTTCGGTTTCTCTTCCTCCGCCTCTTTCTCTCCTCTCTGCCCCCTTTTTTCCCCTCTCTTTCTTCTCTGTTTTTCCTCCCCTTTTCCTCCCCTTTTCCTCCTTTTCCTCTCCTCGCCCTCCCCCTCCCGCCTCTCCCTCTCTCGCCGCCCCCCGCTCTCTCCTCTCCCATTTCCCCCTCCTATGCCCCTCCCCCCCTCTCTCTCCGCTCGCCTCATCTCTCTCGCCGCCTCATCCTCTTCCCCTTGCCTCTCTCTCTCTGTTTCCTTCCCTCTTGCTTTTTTCGCTTTTCCTCCCCCCGCTCTCTCCCTTTCTGTTTTTTTCCCCCCCTCCCTTCTCTCCCCTCTCTTTTTTTCCTCTCTCTCTCTTTTGCATTTTCCTCTCTTTGCCTCTCTCTTTTCCTCCTTTGCCTCTCTTTTCCCCTTTTTCCTCTATTTTTCCTTTTTTTTCCCCTTTTTTCCTCCTTTTTTCCTATTTTTTCCCTTCTCTTCTCTCCCCTCTCTTTCCTCTCCCCGTTGCCTCTCTCTCTCTGGTCTCCCTCCTCTTCGCGCTTCCCTCTCTCTCCCTCGCTCTGCCCTTCTCGTCGTTTCCCTTCTTTCCTGCCTTACTCTCTTTCCTTCCTTCCTTTTTTCCCCCCTCCCTTTCTCTACCCTTTTTTCCCCTGTTCCTCTTTTCCCCTTGTTCTCTTTTCCCTTCTTCTCTCGCTTCTTTTCCCCAAATTTTTTCCTTTCATTCCCTTTTGTATTTTCTTTTTTTTTTATTTTTTTTTGTTTCCCTTTTTTTTTCCCTTCCCCTCCCTTTTTCCCTCCTCGCCCCTTTCTCTCCCCCTTTCCTCTGCTTCATCTCTCTTCGTCGCCTCCCCCCTTCTCCTTTGCCCTCTCCTCTTTTCGCTCATCTCTTTTTGTTTTTCCGCTCTCCTTTCCTCTCCCTCCCCCCCTCCCTCCCCCTTCTCTCCCCTTGCTCTTTTCCCCTTTTCCCTACTCCGCTTCATTTCCTCTCCCCTCTCTTTTCCCCCCCTCCCCTTTCCCCCCTCCCCTCTCCTTCCCTCTCCTTTCTCTCCCCTCTCCCTCTCCTTCTCCCCTCCTCCTCCCCCTCTCCCCCTCCCATCCTTTTGGGCCTGACCCCTTTCTCGCTCCCCCTTCCTCTCCTCTGCCATCTCTCCTCGCTTTTTCCTCACCCCTCCCCCTTCCTCTTTTCCTCCTTTTCTCTCCCTCCTAAATTTTTCCTTCTCTCTCTCTCTCGTCGCCTCTTCTTCGCTCGCCCCTATTTCCCGCTCACTTCTCCGCTCTCCTCCTCTTCTCCCCGCTCTTTTTTTCTTCTCGCTCGGGCCCTCATCTCTCTCTTCGCTTGTTTTCCTCCTCTCGTCTCTCCTTCTCTCCTTTTCCCTCTCTTCGCCCCCCTTCTCCCCTTCTTCCCCTCTCGCTCTGCCTCTTCTCTCCCTCTTCTCTCTCTCCCCCTTCTTTCCCCCTCATCGCTTTTTTCCCCCCTTTTTCCCTTTTTCTCTTTTCCTCCCCTTTCCCCTCTCGCTCCCTCCTCGCCTTCTTCTTTTCTTTCCTTTTTTCCCTTTTTTCTGCCTCCTCTCTCTTTTTTCCCTTTTCTCTTCCTTTTCCCCTCTTCTCTCTCTCTTTCCTCTCTTCTTTTTCCCTTTCTCTCTCTTCCTTTCTTCCCTTTTTCTTTTGTTATCTTCTCTCCCCTTCCCCTTTCTCTCTCTTTTTCCTCTCTTTTCCTCTCTCTTCCTTTCTTCTCTTTTCCCGCCTATCTTTCCTCTTTTCCCTCTCTCCTCTCCCCTCTCTTTTTCCTCTCGCCTCTTCTCTTTTTTTTTTCCGGTTTCTCTCTTCTCCTCGCTCATTCTCTCTCTCCTTCTCGCCTCATCTCTCTCTCTCTCTCTCGCTCTGCCTCTTCTCTCTCTCTCTGCCTCTTCTCTCTCTCTCGCTCGGCCTCTTCTCTCTCTCTCTCTCTCTCTCTCGCTCGGCCTCTTCTCTCTCTCGCTCTCTCGCTCGGCCTCATCTCTCTCTCGCTCGGCCTTATCTCTCGCTCTCTCTCTCTCTGCCTCATTGTCTTCTGGACTGTTTATAGAGCTAGTATTGTCATAGTCTTGGTCCATTAGTAGCTGTGAAGTACTAAGCTTTATAATGCATTAACTACCCATCCTGCCCACTTCTCGCTTTGTTTAGGTGTCAGTGCTGGTGATGTGCCACACCCGAGAGCTGGCGTTTCAGATCAGCAAGGAGTATGAGAGATTCTCCAAGTACATGGCAACTATCAAGGTACACAATGTTATTACCTCCCTGACCCTCTTAAGTCTTGATAATAACTGCACAGTGTTTCACCGCTGGTTTTGTCCCAATCTCTCTCACCAGGTGGCAGTGTTCTTTGGTGGCCTGTCTATAAAGAAGGACGGGGAGGTGTTGAAGAAGGAGTGTCCCCATGTGATGGTGGGGACGCCGGGGGCGACTCCTGGCCCTGATCCGCAACAAGACCCTCAACCTGCGACACATCAAACACTTCATCCTGGACGGGTGTGACAAGATGCTGGAACAACTTGGTGAGTCTGAATCATTGAAGATTGGACAGCAGACCGTTAACGAATCATAATATGCCATTTACATTTACATTTTAGTCATTTAGCAGACGCTCTTATCCAGAGCGACTTACATGAGCAATTAGGGTTAAGTGCCTTGCTCAAGGGCACATCGACAGATTTTTCACCTAGTCGGCTCGGGGATTAGAACCAGCGACCTTTCGGTTACTGGCACAACGCTCTTAACCACTAAGCTACCTGCCGCCTTTTATCCAAAGCGACTTACAGTCATGCGTGCATAAATTTTTGTGTATGGGTGGTCCCGGGGATCGAACCCACTACCTTGGCGTTACAAGCGCCGTGCTCTACCAGCTGAGCTACAGAGGACCACAATCTCTTTCACTATTGATTCATCATCTACCCCTATTTACAGTCTAGGAGACCTAACTACATTTACAAATCTTCATTCCCTCCCTCCTTTCTCCCTCAGACATGCGCAGAGATGTCCAGGAGATATTCCGTCTGACCCCCCCCCATGAGAAACAGGTCATGATGTTCAGCGCCACCCTGAGCAAAGAGATCCGCCCCGTCTGCCGAAAGTTCATGCAAGATGTAATTACGCCTCCTCCTGCGTCCACCACGCCTCTCCTTATTTTCGGACCTCCACCCATCCCCCTGTTCTGCCCTGCCTGGTGGAACGGGGGGAAGAGGGGGGAGGAGGAGTTACCCCCACGGCCCCCGGAGTCTGACAGGAGAGAGACAGCGACGTCTTTCTACACTATAAAGGGAAGTGTCAGCCCACTGACATAGTAAGGTCACTAACTCGGTACGCTAAGACATTGCGGTAGTAGTGTACTGGATCACCTTTCACCAAAATGCCATGCGTTGTGGTAACGGAGTCTCCTTTATAGACTAGCTTGTGCTGTCGAACTGAAATGTACGCAGTATATCTTAACTTCATGACGAAGTTAAACACTGTCAGGCAGAAATAGGCCCCGTTTTTTCAGTCTGTACGTTACGAATCTGACCTCCCCTGATGTCACTATGCTGACGAGCCTATGCAGCATTCGTTTGAACGACGCTTTCGTTCAAAGGCAGTTAAACAATCTCATAATCTAGCCAAGCAAAAACTATTTGTCACGGCCAACCTCCCACCTTTTATTTATTAAGGAAACTGTTTTACCAGGCTGGCATGAGTGAGTACGCTCTGCTCCAAGCTGCTTGTAAAAAAAAAAACAACAGCTCACTGCACTATAGTTAATAGAAAGGGTTCTCCCTGGAGCTGTAACCGCTCATTTGGCAAACGACAGGTACAACTCAGAGGAGAAAAGCCTAATTAAGCTAATGTAAAGAAGAAGTATCCCAAAGAACCTCAGTCAAACAAATAACACAAGCCAAGACAAACGAAGAGGAACACTGACAAGGGCCAAGCTGGGAGAGGAAAATAAGCTGCCTGTCTCTCTGGGCCACTGTAGTTCGTTAAGTAGAAGCTGCCTGTCTCTCTGGGCCACTGTAGTTCGTTAAGTCGACGCTGCCTGTCTCTCTGGGCCACTGTAGTTTGTTAAGTAGAAGCTGCCTGTCTCTCTGGGCCACTATAGTTCGTTAAGTAGAAGCTGCCTGTCTCTCTGGGCCACTGTAGTTCGTTAAGTAGAAGCTGCCTGTCTCTCTGGGCCACTGTAGTTCATTAAGTCGACGCTGCCTGTCTCTCTGGGCCACTGTAGTTCGTTAAGTAGAAGCTGCCTGTCTCTCTGGGCCACTGTAGTTCATTAAGTAGAAGCTGCCTGTCTCTCTGGGCCACTGTAGTTCGTTAAGTAGAAGCTGCCTGTCTCTCTGGGCCACTGTAGTTCGTTAAGTAGAAGCTGCCTGTCTCTCTGGGCCACTGTAGTTCATTAAGTAGAAGCTGCCTTTCTCTCTGGGCCACTGCAGTTCATTAAGTAGAAGCTGCCTGTCTCTGGGCCACTGCAGTTCATTAAGTAGAAGCTGCCTGTCTCTCTGGGCCACTGTAGTTCGTTAAGTAGAAGCTGCCTGTCTCTCTGGGCCACTGTAGTTCATTAAGTAGAAGCTGCCTGTCTCTCTGGGCCACTGTAGTTCATTAAGTAGAAGCTGCCTGTCTCTCTGGGCCACTGTAGTTCGTTAAGTAGAAGCTGCCTGTCTCTCTGGGCCACTGTAGTTCATTAAGTAGAAGCTGCCTGTCTCTCTGGGCCACTGTAGTTCGTTAAGTAGAAGCTGCCTGTCTCTCTGGGCCACTGTAGTTCGTTAAGTAGAAGCTGCCTGTCTCTCTGGGCCACTGTAGTTCATTAAGTAGAAGCTGCCTGTCTCTCTGGGCCACTGTAGTTCGTTAAGTAGAAGCTGCCTGTCTCTCTGGGCCACTGTAGTTCATTAAGTAGAAGCTGCCTGTCTCTCTGGGCCACTGTAGTTCGTTAAGTAGAAGCTGCCTGTCTCTCTGGGCCACTGTAGTTCGTTAAGTAGAAGCTGCCTGTCTCTCTGGGCCACTGCAGTTCGTTAAGTAGAAGCTGCCTGTCTCTCTGGGCCACTGCAGTTCATTAAGTAGAAGCTGCCTGTCTCTCTGGGCCACTGCAGTTCATTAAGTAGAAGCTGCCTGTCTCTCTGGGCCACTGTAGTTCATTAAGTAGAAGCTGCCTGTCTCTCTGGGCCACTGCAGTTCATTAAGTAGAAGCTGCCTGTCTCTCTGGGCCACTGTAGTTCATTAGTTTCCCAACAAAGTGGAATTGCCTAGGTCCGCTGAGCTGAGCCAAAATGGCTCCATTACCTCTTTGTCAGCCAGTCTGCTATTAAATGGAATTGAGGTAACTGGAGATAGGCGATTAACCCTGTAGGAACATGAGGCCCGTCTCACAAGGGAAAAATGGCCACCATTCTGTCCCTAAGCTGCTACCCAAGCATCAGGATGCCTTGGTAATAAATCACAGACATGAACCATCGTCTAACACACTGTACAGACAGAGGCAGTAACAAGGCAGAACACCCTGATGTGAAGAAAGGAGAGAGAGAGAGAGAGAGAGAGGAATGGTAATGAGGAAGATCGACGCGGGAGGGAAGCGATGAAGATGTAGAGAGAAAGTAGAGGGAGATGTGTGACTAGATGGAGACGGTACACAGAGCTGTCTCGTGTTGCCGTGAATCTAGAATCGATGAGGTAACTCTGAAACGCTTGGAGAGCGAGCCTGGGATAGAAGAGCATTGCAGTCATATGAAAAATAGACCGAGCAGAAAAACTGAAAAGGAAAATCCATCTCTCTAAAACTCTTCGCCTGGTAACAAAGGCAGCACCATTTCCTTAGTACAGCCCGTCAACATGTTGATTCTAATAGTGTTTTTATTTGACACATTCCAACTACATGATCATGGATATCAGACACACAACTACACACTGCATAAACCCTCGTACTCTCACAAGCATCCAGGACACGCATAAGGAAATATAGACAAACACACACGTTAACAGAAGCAGCATCTTCAAACACATAGGCTACAGTTGGACGGACTGACTGACTGACTGACTTGACTTTGAGTGAATGACATACGACAGTGACTGGGATTGAGAGGACAGACTGAGTGAATGTGAGACGACCGCAATAATAAACTTGAGGATAATTTATATTAAATGTCATTGATGTAATTAGATTGAGTTGTACAGCCCCACAGTAAATGATGTCCCTGATTGATCATGAAGCCCATCTAATTGACAGAGATGGTTCCCTCCATTGTTTAATTAGACACAGCTGATGCCAGAGAGACAGAGTCAAAGTGGTGGATAGATGAATGTGATGTGAAGATTAATCGCTCTTACGTCAAGTGGAGCAGCCAATGAGGGCTTTTTGTTTTAGTGGACATTAGAGCGTTAATGTAATGCTTGTGGTTACAGTTTACAATAACTTGCCATTTCGTCTGATCACTACGGCTTTTCATTTGACATTTTGCTTTTTGCAAGTGTTGTGTGGATAGTAGTGACTAGTGAGGGTGAGCGATGTCTGTCTGTGTTGCATCAGTATGTGAATTGGTATCCTGTGTGTGTGTGTGCGTGCATGTCTGTCTGGCTGGTTGTGTGAACTTCAAACCTTTTGGCGTCCATCTTAACTCACCATCCCTTCTGTTTCATGTCTCCCTGATCCACCACTACCTCCTCACCCTAACCACTGCTCTCTGGGAACCCTCCACTCCCTGTATTCTTCCCTTTCCCTATCCTGAACAAGTATCAATCTACCTTATTACTGTTTATATGAACACGCAACTCCTCTATCCCTCACAAACCTGGATCAACCATTCAAAACCCTTCACAACTCGTCAAATCAAATGCCCTGTCAACCCACCCCCTGTTAACTCTCCTAAAACATCCACCTTCCCTCCTTAACCGTACCCTTTCCCAACCCCCACTGTTAACGCTCCTAAAACATCCACCTTCCCTCTTACCGTCCCCTTCCCAACCCCCCGGTTAACGCTCCTAAACATCCACCTTCCCTCCTACCGTCCCTTCCCAACCCCACCGTTAACGCTCCTAAAAACATCCACCTTCCCTCCCCATACCGTCCCCTTCCCAACCCCCAGGTAACTCTCCTAAAACATCCACCTTCCCATCCTACCGTCCCTTCCCAACCCCCCGTTAACTCTCCTAAAACATCCACCTTCCCTCCTACCGTTCCCCTTCCCAAACCCCCAGTTAACTCTCCTTAAAAACATCCACCTTCCATTACTACCGTCACCCTTCCCAACCCCCCGGTTAACTCTCCTAAAACAATCCAACCTTCGCCTTCCTACCGTCCCCTTCCCAACCCCCCGTTAACTGCTCCTCAAAACATCCACCTTCACTCTACCGTCCCCTTCCCATTATCACCCACCGTTAACTCTCCTAAAAAATCCAACCTTCCCTCCCTAACGTCCCCTTCCCCAAACCCCCCGTTAACTCTCCTAAAACATCCACCTTCCCTCCTACCGTCCCCTTCCCAACCCCCCGTTAACTCTCCTAAAACATCCACCTTCCCTCCTACCGTCCCCTTCCCAACCCCCCGTTAACTCTCCTAAAACATCTCACCTCCCTCCAACCGTCCAACCCCTTCCCCAACCCCCACGTTAACTCTCCAAAACATCCACCTTCCCTCCTACCGTCCCTTCCCAACCCCCCGTTAACGCTCCTAAAACATCCACCTTCCCTCCTACCGTCCCCTTCCCAACCCCCGTTAACGCTCCTAAAACATCCACCTTCCCTCCTACCGTCCCCTTCCCAACCCCCCGTTAACTCTCCTAAAACATCCACCTTCCCTCCTACCGTCCCCTTCCCAACCCCCCGTTAACTCTCCTAAAACATCCACCTTCCCTCTACCGTCCCTTCCCAACCCCCGTTAACGCTCCTAAAACATCCACCTTCCCTCCTACCGTCCCCTTCCCAACCCCCGTTAACCTCCTAAAACATCCACCTTCCCCTCTACCGTCCCCTTCCCAACCCCCCGTTAACGCTCCTACAACTCTCCTATCCCCTACTCCTTCCAACCCCCGTTACTCCTACTCACCTGTCCCTACCCCCTTGCTCCAACCCCTAACGCCGATAAACATCTGTTTGTGCCATCCCAGACCCTAAGTCTAGAACCCCACGGGCCTGCTAGTGACCCTACTCAAACTGAAGACTCACGAAGAACATGCAACCTTTAGTCCCTCAGACGTGTGAGTCTAAAACAGTACTGCAATGCATTATGTCTTCAACCCCCGGTAACTAGAAAATTTGAGTTTCAATCAGGTTAGGACATTAATGATGACTGTCCATCAGGTACTGAATTAATCCCTGATGTTAATCAGGTACTGAATAATATGATTTCAACAGTACTGGAAATTAATTATAATCTTCCCGTGGACGTTCAATCAGGTACGGAATTGAAATTATGATGTTCAATCAGGTACTGATGAACACCCGTTAACGTCACTAAAATGAATTTTGTTCAACCCCGTTAACTTAGTGATTTCAATAGTACTGGAATAATTTGTGTTAAAAGGTACTGGAATTAATCTAGATGTCAATCAGGTACTGGGAATTAATTTGAGTTCAACAGGTACTGGAATTAATTATGAGTTCAACAGTATGGATTAATGTGTTCAATCAGGTACTGGAATTAATTATGATGTTCAATCAGGTACTGGAATTAATTATGATGTTCAATCAGGTACTGGAATTAATTATGATGTTCAATCAGGTACTGGAATTAATTATGATGTTCAATCAGGTACTGGAATTAATTATAATGTTCCACAGTGGAGTTCAACCAGGTACTGGAATTAATTATGATGTTCAACAGGTACTGGAATTAATTATGATGTTCACCAGGTACTGGAATTAATGTGAGTTCAAGAGGCACATGGCAGGAGAAACTGAGGAAAAAAGGAACCACTAGCTGGGAAAGTTTTTGTATGCAAATAGTGTGTTTAGTCAGTGTCTTAGTTCAACCAGGTGCTGTGTTTCATGTTCCACCGTGGTAAATAACAGCAGGAAATTCAGGGAAAACATCAACGCTGACAAGACAAGTCAAATTTGGAATATGCAAATGCAGTGACTAGTCAAATCTAGTGTGTGTAGTCAGTGTGTTGTTTCCACATGGTTCGAAGTCAGTGCAGCGCTGTGTGATCTCTGGCCCAGTGTGTGAAGTGATATTATTGTATATTATAGGTGGTGATCTCTGGCCCCAGTGTGTGTCGTGCTATTCTTGTCCTATTATCGGTGGGTGCTCTTTGTTGAAAGTCGTGCAGCGCTGTGTTGGCTCTGGCCCAGCTGTGGTTGAGCAGAACTTTCCGGCTGTCGCCATCCACCGCGGGATGCCCCAGGAGGAACGGTGTGTGTGTGTGTGGGGGGGGTCTGGTTCTGTTTCGTGTGTATTATTTTGAACATTAATACTATAATTGTTTGATCTGACATGGTCATTACCCATCTTTTTATAAACTAATCCCACCCCCTCTTCTCTTTCTCCCCAACCTCCTTCCCCAGTCTCTCTCGTTACCAACAGTTTAAAGACTTCCAGAGACGTATCCTGGTGGCCACCAACCTGTTTGGCAGAGGGAATCGACATCGAGAGGGTCAACATCGCCTTCAACTACGACATGCCAGAAGACTCTGACACTTACCTGCACAGAGTATGTCCCGTAGACTACTGAAGACTGTCCAGATGAGCAGTTCCGTGCCTCGCCTTCCTCAGAAGTATCCTCTCAAACGCGCCGACGCTGAGGTTATTTTGTCAAAGGCCTCTTGTTTGTCCGTCTTACCGGTAGCAGCCGGGGTCATCATACGGTTTACTTAGTTATAAAACCCTCTTAAGTTGTTTGTGTGCCGTCTTACTCAGGTTGCCAGGGCGGGCAGGTTTGGCACCAAAGGCGTGGCCATCACGTTTGTGTCTGATGAGACGGACGCCCGCACCCTTAACGACGTCCAGGAACGATTCGAGGTGAACATCAGCGAGCTGCCCGACGAGATCGACATCTCATCTTACAGTAAGTGCTGCTTAGTTCCGGTCGGTCTTGGTTATCAGTGGGTCTAGAGTAAAAGGAGTGGTCTTTGCTGGTCATCTGTTACTTTATTAGGAAATGTATTATGTTAGAAACATCTATATTTTATCAGTGGAGTATAGAATATTATCAAGTGATTCGGTGAATATTCTGCTTTAATTTGTCATTTTTTTACCTCTGTGCCCTCAGTTGAACCGACCCGGTAAAGAAGACCAGATCTATTGTCCTGCAGACATTGCGACTTATATTTGACCTTCAACACTGATAACTAAAGGTCAAATCAACTATTATCAGATCGAAAAGTACAATACAGTAAAATAATTTCTTAATCTGCTGGCATTCATTCATTCGCCCCTAGAATGAATGAATGAATAAATTAGGACTACTGTAGAATAGCGCCCCCTGTGGATAGAAGGGACGTTTCTGAACATTGTCAGGCCTTTTCCAATGCCATTTGTTTAATGATGTTAATATTATTTTGTTGTATTTATCTAGACTAGGTAGCTGTCACTGAATATTTGAGTTATTTATTTTTTTGTATTTTATTTACCTTGTAATTTGGATTGTGAATGCTGCATTTTATAGCCTGTGAAGATAGTTGACAAGTTACCAAGCGGTAGTTTCTAGTGTGAAGGAAGAGGAAAATGTTACATTGAATGACTTGTAAAGATGTAGAGAGAGAAACTAAACAAGCGCTGTTCTGCGCTCAATGTGGATTCATAAATATGTTTGACTCGATATACAGACTTGCTGCTTCTTCTTGCCTCAACATCTAATCTTGTCCTGTCATTGTCTGTCTTGAGGTGTGTGCCACAGTCAGAAAATATACAAATGAACAAAACTGCCTGCCAAGGCTTACACTGACTGAATATCGAAACAGCCCTAGTCAAAGACTGCGTCTCAAGTGGCACCCTATTCCCTATAGAGGGCACTACTTTTGACCAGAGCCCTATGGGACCTGGTCTAAAGTAGTGCACTACATAGGGAATAGGGATTCATTTAGGATGCAGACAAAGTATACAGTGTAGTTCCAAGTTAACATCTGCTTGTTTATAGTGGAGGTTATCTTCATTTATCACCTCGGGACTGATGCCTTTAAATAGCTGGTGAGATCAGCCTGTCATGCTGGCTGCTACACAACATTAGATCAGCCTGTCAACGCCGGCTGCTACACATCATTAGATCACCCTGTCACGCCGGCTGCTACACATCATTAGATCAGCCTGTCACGCCGGCTGCTACACATCATTAGATCACCCTGTCACGCCGGCTGCTACACATCATTAGATCACCCTGTCACGCCGGCTGCTACACATCATTAGATCAGCCTGTCACGCCGGCTGCTACACATCATTAGATCAGCCTGTCACGCCGGCTGCTACACATCATTAGATCAGACTGTCACGCCGGCTGCTACACATCATTAGATCAGCCTGTCACGCCGGGCATGCTACACATCATTAGATCAGCCTGTCACGCGGATTGCTACACATCATTAGATCAGCCTGTCACCGCCGGCTGCTACACAACATTAGATCAGCCTGTCACGCCGGCTGCTACACAACATTAGATCAGACTGTCACGCCGGCTGCTTCACATCATTAGATCAGCCTGTCAACGCCGGCTGCTACACAAGCCGTAAAGTACAGTAGCTCTTATAGCCTAAAGCAGAAACCTCACCAGACCGGTTGTCTGTCGGCGCAGTGCGGGGCCGTTCGTTCGCTTGCTGTCGGCGCAGTGCGGGGCCGTTCGTTCGCTTGCTGTTGGCGCAGTGCGGGGGCCGTTCGTTCGCTTGCTGTCGGCGCAGTGCGGGGCCGTTCGTTGGCTTGCTGTTGGCGCAGTGCGGGGGCCGTTCGTTCGCTTGCTGTCGGCGCAGTGCGGGGGCCGTTCGTTCGCTTGCTGTCGGCGCAGTGCAGGGCCGTTCGTTCGGTTGTCTGTCGGCGCAGTGCGGGGCCGTTCGTTCGCTTGCTGTCGGCACAGTGCGGGGGCCGTTCGTTCGCTTGCTGTCGGCGCAGTGTGTGACAGGGATCACCCCCTCTGTCGTTTTCTCCCGTTTTCTAGATGCAGAATGGGTTTGCAAATTACGGCAGGTACTCTGTTCAGCAGTGTTAACGAAGCACTTTCGGCCCCAGACGCTCAGCAATTCTACCGGTCTGTCCATGTCTTAGCTTGGCCAACCTATAGTATAGTAACGTACAAAGAAAGTATATTTCAGATTTTTTTTTTTTGCTAACTAAACTATTGGGCATACAGTGCCTTGCGAAAGTATTCACCCCCCTTGGCATTTTTCCTATTTTGTTGCCTTACAACCTGCAATTAAAATTGATTTTGGGGGGGTTTGTATCATTTGATTTACACAACATGCCTACCACTTTGAAGATGCAACATATTTTTTTATTGTGAAACAAACAAGAAATAAGACAGAAAAACAGAACTTGAGCGTGCATAACTATTTACAGCTGCAAGTATCTTGGGGTATATGTCTATAAGCTTGGCACATCTAGCCACAGGGATTTGTGCCCATTCTTCAAGGCAAAACTGCCCCAGCTCCTTCAAGTTGGATGGGTTCCGCTGGTGTACAGCAATCTTTAAGTCATACCACAGATTCTCAATTGGATTGAGGTCTGGGCTTTGACTAGACCATTCCAAGACATTTAAATGTTTCCCCTTAAACCACTCAAATGTTGCTTTAGCGGTATGCTTAGGGTCATTGTCCTGCTGGAAGGTGAACCTCCGTCCCAGTCTCAAATCTCTGGAAGACTGAAACAGGTTTCCCACAATACTTTTCCTGTATTTTGCGCCATCCATCATTCCTTCAATTCTGACAAGTTTCCCAGTACCTGCCAATGTTGGGTTTGCGCCAGACATAGCTTTTTCCTTGATGGCCAAAAAGCTCAATTTTAGTCATCTGACCAGAGTCTCCCACATGCCTTTTGGCGAACACCAAACGTGTTTGCTTATTTTTTTCTTTAAGCAATGGCTTTTTTGTGGCCCCTCTTCCGTAAAGCCCAGCTCTGTGGAGTGTACGGCTTAAAGTGGTCCTATGGACAGATGCTCCAATCTCCGCTGTGGAGCTTTGCAGCTCTTTCAGGGTTATCTTTGGTTTCTTTGTTGCCTCTCTGATTAATGCCCTCCTTGCCTGGTCCATGAGTTTTGGTGGGCGGCCCCCTCTTGGCAGGTTTGTTGTGGTGCCATATTCTTTCAATTTTTTAATAATGGATTTAATGGTGCTCCGTGGGATGTTCAAAGTTTTGGATATTTTTTTATAACCCAACCCTGATCTGTACTTCTCCACAACTTTGTCCCTGACCTTGTTGGAGAGTTCCTTGGTCTTCATGGTGCCGCTTGCTTGGTGGTGCAGACTCTGGGGCCTTTCAGAACAGGTGTGTGTGTATATGTATGTATATTTGCAAATTACAGCAGATCATGTATACACTGAGATCAGTGACACTTAGATTGCACAAAGCTGGACTTTAACTAATTATGTGACTTCTGGTTGCACCAGATCTTATTTAGGGGCTTAATAGCAAAGGGGGTGAATACATATGCACGCACCACTTCTCTGTTCATTTTTATTTTTTTAGAATTCTTTGAAGCAAGTTATTTTTTTCATTTCACTTCACCAATTTGGACTATTTTGTGTATGTCCATTACATGAAATCCAAATAAAAATCCATTTAAATTACAGGTTATAATGCAACAAAATAGGAAAAAACGCCAAGGGGCATGAATACTTTTGCAAGGCACTGTATTAGCCTCTGACTCTGGCTTGATTTGAAATGGCCCAGAGAGACTATGGACATAATCCTTTTGAGGTCTCAGATAAATACTTTTCAGGGAATCAACACAGTCGGGTCGGCCAATAGTCTTAAATACTGTCCTCCTTTGTCTAAATCTGCTTGCTGAGGCACCTCAATTGATCTCTAGGCTCTTCTAATCTGGATTGTAAGGTGACCAGACTGTTTGTGAAACAGGAAGCAAGATGGGGCAGGAAGTCAACAGGATAAGAGTGGACTGGGAAAGGAAGTGGGGAGGGATAGCCTAGACTGGGTTGCATTCTGAATGGCACCCTATTCCCTATATAGCCCATAGGGCTCTGATCAAAAGTAGTGCATAGGGTGCCATTTGTGACGTAGACAGAGGTTACAGGCACAAATGGGAAAGGATTGTTGGAAAATGACCAGGAACAATAAAACTTACATCCGTTAGTGTTATGTCACTAGTCTGGAAAACTGCTGACGCTCAAAAGATAAGACACAATGGATAAGTGGACAAATATCAAAATAGTCAGTTTTATTTGCAACGTATTAAAGTTATAAACACGTCAGGCAGTGTTTTTTTCTCACCATAAGGACATATGAATCAATCAACCCAGTACATTAATAATCCCCCTTCTCTTCATGTATCACCCAGTTACACCAATCATGTAAAATCGCAAAATAAAATAAGAAAAACATGTAAAAACAATCGTAATCATTGGTTTTTTCAACAAACCTAACTGTAGATGACCACTGTTTGAATGTCATGGAATTACAACCGACCCTTCATTTGAAAAGGACTCCAGTATAGTCAGCATCTTGCATCCCAAATGGCTCTCTTCCCTTTCTAGGAAATAGGGTGCCATTCGGAATGCAGACAACATCAACAGAATGTCACATACAATGTGTTAAACTGGTGCGCTGCATGGCAATGTACGAACCTCTGACTATTTTGTAGGATGATCTCTTTATAAACCATTTACAAGATAGCTAAATAAAATAATTCCCAAAATAGCCTTTCCCCAAAAAACATTTATTGTACTTTTTTCATTTTATGAATAAACCAAATTAGATAATCATATTTATAATACTCGTTTAATACCAACCGAACTAATATATTTTGACCGCTCAGATTCGTTCACTTTGACTGCAAGTTCTTTTAAAGTAGAGCTCTGAGTAGAATGTAGACCGAGGCTGTCCCAAATGGCACCCTTTTCCCTATGAGCCCTGGTCAACAGTAGTGCACTAAATAGGGAAAAGGGTACGATTTGGGACGTGACCAGAGAGGGGATTGGCCTCTCCTTTTAAGACCTGGTGACACGGGGAACAAGACAAAAAATCTCATCTGAGGCCTCCCAATCAATGTAATCAAACTTGTGGTTGTGGCTGTCCAGAACTTTAGATTTAGTTTAAGACATTGCGTTGAAGCGAACAGTAAACCTTTCCTAGACCAGCTCTAGCAGGAGAACAACCAAGCACTAAATGGTTCTTACTTTCTGTGAGAGACTTTGTGGTTTCACTCCCTGGGCTGTTCCCTGTGTCACACTGCATTCAGGTTCCCTGTGTCACACTGCATTCAGGTTCCCTGTGTCACACTGCATTCAGGTTCCCTGTGTCACACTGCATTCAGGTTCCCTGTGTCACACTGCATTCAGGTTCCCTGTGTCACACTGCATTCAGGTTCCCTGTGTCACACTGCATTCAGGTTCCCTGTGTCACACTGCATTCAGGTTCCCTGTGTCACACTGCATTCAGGTTCACTCATAAAACAAGGAGTGCCTTACTCCTCTCCTCCACCCACCCACCCTACTTCTATCCAATCCACCCACCCTACTTCTATCCAATCCCTCACCCACCCACCCACCCTACTTCAATTACCCCCCTTATCCAACCTACTTCATCCTAATCCACCTATCCCATACTCTATCCAATCCACCCACCCTACTTCTATCCAATCCACCCACCCTACTTCTATCCAATCCACCCACCCTACTTCTATCCAATCCACCCACCCTACTTCTATCCAATCCACAACCTCTTCTATCCATCCCTCCAACCCCCACCACCTACTTCTATCCAATCCACCCACCCTACTTCTATCCAATCCACCCACCCTACTTCTATCCAATCCTTCCACCCACCAAGCCTGTCTGTTTTGTTTAGTTTCAGTTCCTTCATGTGACCTTGTTTTTGTTTTCTTTGGTTTGAGAGGGTGTTCCTCTCTCTCTCGAGTCGGTCTTCGATACCGTTCACACTAACGTCCTGTCCAAACCTCTCAGCTCCAGCTGACGTCGTACTTTGTCCATCCCTCAGGTGGGGTCAAGAAGACCCGTCGTCCACGGGACAGGAAGCTGACCACGCCCCTGTAACCTGCACGGGGAACCCCCGATTTCAAGTCATCCATAACCCCTAAGTTACGGGCCAGGACTTTAAAACTCTCCCGGCTGGAATATTGCACCCGGTACGGACCCGTTCGCGTCAAACCACCCCCTTGTTGTAGCTCTTCTACTTTAACCAGGGGGGCGCTGTAAACCTCCTTCACAAAGTTCACATCGAAGTTCTCCTTCATCAAGTAAGACAGATCCTGTTTGGTGAAAGGCACAAAGTCAGTGTTGAGTTTAATGTAGCGTAGGTACTGGTCGAAGAACTGACCCAAGCTGACACCCTTGCGTCCGAAGGTTATAGTTCTGGAGATCTCTGGGCGGATGCAGGAGCGCTCTTTACGCTGCTCGGGGTGACGCATCCAGTCGTCCCAGAAGGCGGCGGGCCACTTGGGCTCTAGTTCGGCCCAGACGTCCTTCAACAGCATCCAGCCCAGCCCAGGGAAGAAGTCTGTCCTGTAGAGGAGGTCCGCCTTCCCAGGGTCCACCAGGCCATCTCGGCCGTTGTCGTTCCAGGCAGACACACACCACAGGGTGGGGTCAGAGGTCAAGATGGGGTGCAGGGCGCGGAAGTACTCAAAGAAGTCAGGGGCCACCTGGACGGGACAGAGAAGCTTTGGATCAGTTTTACAGTAGGATAACTTGTCTTCCTTCCAGTTATAAGGAATTATTCAGTATATATCCTGCATCACTATTTGTCATGCAATTATGAAAACTGTAGTCAGGTCCCAGATCTGTTTGTGACATCATGTCAACTCTGTCACTCATTGTAATGCCAAACAATAACCAATACTACCAAACATGTTTGTTTCTGCTCTTGTCAACAATCGACTGGCTGTGAAAACTGCATCTGCAGTATGAATCCATGCAATGCAAGCCTAATAACAAAAAAGGACAAGAACTTAGCATGCCTGATAACCACCCATAGGGTCCAAAATGTTGGGCTTTCTGATTAATACAATGCCAATAGTACGTCAACACGAAATGACTAGCCAAAGCAAACATGATAAATGGGTCTTCAGGTTGGTAGTCACAATATGTAGAAAAGTAACTGTTTCCCAGTACATTTTCCCCCTCAGTTTCTCAATGTTTGATTTAGGGGTGCAAAGTTTAGCCTAGAAGCTTTTAACTGGTGATTCATGGCAGCAACTCTGTTGTTTTGATAATTTCCTGTAACTCACGACGAATTCTGCCGATGCAGTTTGTTTCCAGACAATTTGTTCAACCAGCTGGCAGTTTAATTTGGCCTGCATCCCAAATGGCACATGTATCCCCTATATAGTGCACTACTTTTGACTAGAGCCCTATGGACCCTGTTTAAAAGTAGTGCTGCAGTACAGTGGGGGAAAAAAAGTATTTAGTCAGCCACCAATTGTGCAAGTTCTCCCACTTAAAAAGATGAGAGAGGCCTGTAATTTCATCATAGGCACACGTCAACTATGACAGACAAATTGAGAATTATTTTTCCAGAAAATCACATTTTAGGATTTTTAATGAATTTATTTGCAAATTATGGTGGAAAATAAGTATTTGGTCAATAACTAAAGTTTCTCAATACTTTGTTATATACCCTTTGTTGGCAATGACACAGGTCAAACGTTTTCTGTAAGTCTTCACAAGGTTTTCACACACTGTTGCTGGTATTTTGGCCCATTCCTCCATGCAGATCTCCTCTAGAGCAGTGATGTTTTGGGGCTGTCGCTGGGCAACACGGACTTTCAACTCCCTCCAAAGATTTTCTATGGGGTTGAGATCTGGAGACTGGCTAGGCCACTCCAGGACCTTGAAATGCTTCTTACGAAGCCACTCCTTCGTTGCCCGGGCGGTGTGTTTGGGATCATTGTCATGCTGAAAGACCCAGCTACGTTTCATCTTCAATGCCCTTGCTGATGGAAGGAGGTTTTCACTCAAAATCTCACGATACATGGCACCATTCATTCTTTCCTTTACACAGATCAGTCGTCCTGGTCCCTTTGCAGAAAAACAGCCCCAAAGCATGATGTTTCCACCCCCATGCTTCACAGTAGGTATGGTGTTCTTTGGATGCAACTCAGCATTCTTTGTCCTCCAAACACGACGAGTTGGTTTTTACCAAAAAGTTATATTTTGGTTTCATCTGACCATATGACATTCTCCCAATCCTCTTCTGGATCATCCGAATGCACTCTAGCAAACTTCAGACGGGCCTGGACATGTACTGGCTTAAGCAGGGGGACACGTCTTGCACTGCAGGATTTGAGTCCCTGGCGGCGTAGTGTGTTACTGATGGTAGGCTTTGTTACTTTGATCCCAGCTCTCTGCAGGTCATTCACTAGGTCCCCCCGTGTGGTTCTGGGATTTTTGCTCACCGTTCTTGTGATCATTTTGACCCCACGGGGTGAGATCTTGCGTGGAGCCCCAGATCGAGGGAGATTATCAGTGGTCTTGAATGTCTTCCATTTCCTAATAATTGCTCCCACAGTTGATTTCTTCAAACCAAGCTGCTTACTTATTGCAGATTCAGTCTTCCCAGCCTGGTGCAGGTCTACAAATTTGTTTCTGGTGTCCTTTGACAGCTCTTTGGTCTTGGCCATAGTGGAGTTTGGAGTGTGACTGTTTGAGGTAGTGGACAGGTGTCTTTTATACTGATAACAAGTTCAAACAGGTGCCATTAATACAGGTAACGAGTGGAGGACAGAGGAGCCTCTTAAAGAAGAAGTTACAGGTCTGTGAGAGCCAGAAATCTTGCTTGTTTGTAGGTGACCAAATACTTATTTTCCACCATCATTTGCAAATAAATTCATTAAAAATCCTACAATGTGATTTTCTGGATTTTTTTTCCTCAATTTGTCTGTCATAGTTGACGTGTACCTATGATGAAAATTACAGGCCTCTCATCTTTTTAAGTGGGAGAACTTGCACAATTGGTGGCTGACTAAATACTTTCCCCCCCCCCACTGTATATAGGGGGGGCCATTTGGGACGTAGCCTTGGTCTGAATTGATGGCGGATGAGCGGGGCAGTGCAGGATGGGAAGGATCTGTCCTCACGCCCCTCTGCTCGGTGTCAACGTGGTAAATCCACTAAAATCAGTTAAAATGTGTTCATCTGGGAACGCAAACCAGGATTACAGCGGCCCACTGAACTGGACACTGTGATTAAGACCTGTTCCCTCTCTCTGTTCCTACTGTGCACCGCTCTCACTCCTCCCTGGACATCTTGGCATGATTCCCCTACTGGCTTGAGGTCAGTTTAGTGATCTAAATATGACAAACGGGTCCTCTCTGGCCATCTTGGCATGATTTACCTACTGGCTTGAGGTCAGTTTAGTGATCTAAATATGACAAACGGGTCCTCTCTGGCCATCTTGGCATGATTTACCTACTGGCTTGAGGTCAGTTTAGTGATCTAAATATGACAAACGGGTCCTCTCTGGCCATCTTGGTAGAGCATGGAGCTTGTAACGCCAGGGTTGTTGGTTTGATTCCCACTGGGGCCATCCATACAACAACAAAATAAAGATGTATGCACGCTTGACTAAGTTATTTTGGTATACAGACGCTTATAGAGGCTTCCCTGAAATGAGTCTTGTTGATGTGCATTACTGGACCTTCACAGAACAAAGTGGCTAACCACTGGTCACACTAGACTAGTAATTACCCTAGATTAATATAAATCTTAATAAAAAAGGCAAAACTATGTTTCAGGTTGTCCCAATGAATGTGCTGTGCAAACGAGGAACATTTTAGGATCAACTTTCATCATCATTATCCCAAATGTCAATGTGAGTCTGATGGAATGACGTAACCTTCCCATCTAAACCTATGGAACGTGGAGAGCAGGCAGACGGAAGGCATATTCTGCCCCTGTTGCAGGGAGCGGGGGGTGGGGGGGTTGTCTAAAGCTTAGTGCTGTAAACGGAGTACTTGATGTTTTGTTGTAGGCCACAGGGTCGGGCTGGATGTTGGAGTGTAACTAAAAAGCAGCACTGGATTCATCAATTAGGCCTAGGTGAGGAATCCAGTGCTGCTTTATAGACATACTATACTGACCAACTGGCTTTGTGGTTAGCGTGTCCGCCCTGAGATTGGAAGGTTGGGAGTTCGATTTCCGGCCGAGTCCTACCAAAGGCTGTAGTAATGGGACCCAATGCCCTGCGATACACTAGTTTCCTGTCCAGGGAGTGTCCTTGTACATCAAGCTGCCTCACGCTACACAAAACAGGAGATATACTCCTTTGAGCCACATCCAAGGCTCCTAGATACTTCTATTGAGCCACAAGTCACCAGAAACTCAGGCACTTCTAATCAATGAGTCCAAGACATTCAGACTGTGGTGCACTTTAAATCCATTCCTCAATTACAGTGCATGCAGACAGAGGTGTATGGACTTCAGTTACTGTTCACTTACCTCCAAATCATCTTCAACGATCACCACGGTGGAGTGAGAGAGTGTGTTGAACACCTGGTTGAGGGCCCAGCGGTAGTGTCTGGCAATCTTATAGTAACCCTGGAACTTCCTGTGCTCCGGCCGTACCCGGATGTCCGAGTGGTCTGGTTGGCTAATGTGGGTCACCTGACTGCCATATGAGCCAATCACGCGGGCTGTCTCAGCATGGCCGCAGTCCTGGCTAACTATGATTGGATAGAGTTCTGCAGAGGGGCGGTATTGTATCAATTTGTCAAGACTCCTTTTCACAGTCACCCTGTCACAGGCGATAACCAATATGGGAATGACAACTTGTGGGATGGTGACAGATACATCCAATTTGGTGCGGTTGGTCAGTTCTTTTATGTCATTGTCCGGTTTTGTGTCTACTTTAGGATCTGGGACTGCTGCAACAAATTCCTGTGTAATTCTTTCTTGACTTTGGTCCTTGTTTTCAGAGCCGTCCTTTGGAGGTAACCGTGGCGACGGTTTGTGTTTCCCTTTCTCTTCTATTTTCCCTCCATCCGTCTCTCTTTTTCCCATCTCTTTCCTCTTTTCCCATAGTGACCTGTGACTCTGGATCTGCTTCAGAAGTTTCTTCTGGGTCTCGAGTTCCGATTCTATCTCCTCTGCCAATCGGATCACCTCGCCAGCCAGATTAGTCCCACCCCCTTTTCTTTTGGCCACTCCCCATTCTTCCCTTCCCCCTGGCTCAGCCCCTCCCACTTCCCCAAATCGACCAATGGGAGGCCGTCCCCAAAGGAAAAGGAGAAGCAAGCCATTGCAAGCGACGAATAGGAAAGCTCCACACAAGATAAGGGAACCTCTCTTGCGAACCATGGCCCAATGACATCAGAGGATGGACTACCGTGAGGAGAAGAAAACAGCGGAGGGGGGGGGGACAGTGTTGAAATGACAACAGCCAATAGGGTCCAAACCAATCACAAAAATGAGAAAACGTCCAATAAGGGTGGAGAGAACAGAGGTCCGATCACATGATCCTTACTGCTCATCCAATCATTGAGTGTGACGGATAACATGACAGGAGAATGATCCAGAACCTCTATTGCAGAGACAGATGGATGGAGACGTGTGTATTAACCCAGTGTGTTGTTGTATTGGTTTGGCTCTCCTCCATGAAACAGTGGGGCAGGAGAGTGAGTTGAGGCGAGAGGAAATTGAGAAAAACAGGGGGAGAGGAGAGGGGTGTTTGGATCAGATAAAAAAAAAGGAGAAACAGGGTCACGTAGGGGTGGAGGGGCTGAGAGTCAGTTATCCCTCTGCCATCACCCTGAAACAGAGGAGAGAGAGAACAACAAAGTGTGTTAGCATCAGTTTAGTACATTTCAGTTCTCATTTTTTGCTATCAGTGAAACAGTCTGAAAAAAACAAGCACTATATGATCACAAAAACAGTGTATTTCTTGACAGATTAGGTTATTACTGGAGTTTTCTATTATCTAGAAATTGCCAACTGTATCATTGAGCAGAATCAGAACACGACCCAAACTGTTCAGTAGGGGATGGTCGAACCACAAATCTTGTGGCTGTTGCCTCATCATTGCGCACCAGTGTCACCATAAAACGATTGTGTGTGTTGAGCCTATGAATCAAGATGTTAAACTCTGTTCAGGGTCCGTGCTTATGAATCAAGCTGTGAGGTTCAGTACTGGAATAGCTTAATTTTCACTACCTTTATTAGGATCAGTGTACAGCTGAATGTATTACCATATTATGTACCCATCAACCTGAGTTTCACAGAGGAACAGGACCCATCAGCCGGAGTATCACAGAGGAACAGGACCCATCAGCCTGAGTATCACAGAGGAACAGGACATCCTGTCAGCACATATTAAAGCTAAAGCACTTCTGCAGACTGTCGTTGTAGCGTTTGGTGTTAAACCCAATTGTAGACCTAATGTCCAGACACTTAGGCTAACACCAACCTTTTCTATTTAATGGAGATTTTTAAAAGCCTGTTAACTGGACAGTAACCAAAGGATCCCTCTGTCATATTCAAATGATTTAAATGTATCCACCCAGCTCCACAGGGAGCCTCTGGGATAACAAACATATGTGGACACCCCTTCAAATTAGTGGTTTCGGCTATTTCAGACACACCTGTTGCTGACAGGTGTATAAAATCGAGCACACCGCCATGCAATCTCCATAGACAAACATTGGCAGTAGAATGTCCTTACTAAAGAGCTGAGTGACTTTCAACGTGGCACCGTCATAGGATGCCACCTTTCCAACAAGTCAGTTTGTCAAATTTCTGCCCTGCTAGAGCTGCCCCCGGGCCAACTGTAAGTGCTGTTATTGTGAAGTGGAAACATCTATGAGCAACAACGGCTCAGCTGCGAAGTGGTAGGCCACACAAGCTCGCAGAACAGGACCACCGAGTGCTGAAGCGCGTAAGCACTCACTTCCAAACTGCCTCTGGAAGCAACGTCAGCACAAGAACTGTTCATTGAGAGCTTCATGTAATGGGTTTCCATGGCCGAGCAGCCGCACACAAGCCTAAGATAAGCATGCGCAATGCCAAGCGTCGGCTGGAGTGGTGTAAAGCTCCATTGGACTCTGGAGCAGTGGAAACGCGTTCTCTGGAGTGATTAATCACGCTTCACCATCTGGCAGTCCAACAGACTAATCTGGGTTTGGCGGATGCCAGGAGAACGCTACCTGCCCGAATGCATAGTGCCAACTGTAAATTTTGGTGGAGGAGGAATAATGGTCTGGGGCTGTTTTTCATGGTTCGGGCTAGGCCCCTTAGTTCCAGTGAAGGGAAATCTTAATGCTACAGAATACAATGACATTCTAGATGGGGCGGCAGGTAGCTTTGTGGTTAAGAGCGTCGCTGGTTCTAATCCCCAAGCCGACTAGGTGAAAAATCTGTCGATGTGCCCTTGAGCAAGGCACTTAACAATTCTGTGCTTCCAACTTTGTGGCAACCGTTTGAGGAAGGCCCTTTCCTGTTTCAGCATGAGAATGCCCCTGTGCAAAAAGCAAGGTCCATACAGAAATGGTTTGTCGAGATCGGTGTGGAAGAACTTGACTGGCCTGCACAGAGCCCTGACCTCAACCCCATCTAACACCTTTGGGATTAATTGGAACACCAACTGCGAGCCAGGCCTAATCGCCCAACATCAGTGCCGAACTCACTGATGCTCGACGCTGAATGGAAGCAAGTCCCCGCAGCAATGTTCCAACATCTAGTGGAAAGCCTTCCCATAAGAGTGGAGGCTGTTATAGTAGCAAAGGGGGGACCAACTCCATATTAATGCCCATGATTTTGGAATGAGATGTTCGACGAGCAGGTGTCCACATACTTTTGGTAATATAGTGTACACCTGCCAGCATCCGTAGCAACAGTAGTCCTGACTGAAGGAAGCATTTCACGCCAAGGTCTACACCTGTTGTATTCGGCGCATGTGACAAATCAAATTTGATCACACTCGAAGCTAATACACAGCCCTTAATGAATATCACAATTGGACCCTCTCATATGGTCTCTGTTGATGGAAACAAACACAGCACGAAAGCGCTAGCAGTTTCAGCCTTCTGGGAAAGACAAAAACACACACTGTGCGGGTCCCAAATGGTATGTTTCCCCAGATGGCACTACTTTTGACCAGAGTCCTATGGTCCCCTATGGACCCAGGTCAGAGGTAGTACACTATATAGGGAACAGGTTGCCATTTGGGACACAGACACTGCAGGACCTCTCGTTATGGATCACCACCGGCAGGTTTCTCCAGATGAGCAGAAACCAGATTGTTTACATCGTTAAGATTCACGACACACTTCCATTTATAAACACCAACCTGCTGCTGCCACCAAACCCTGGGAGCGCCCAAAAAGCACCCCATCCCCTATAGTGAATCTTTGGGCCCTGGTCTAAAAGGAGTGCACATAATAGGGAATAGGGTACAATTTGGGATGCAGACCCAATTTCACAAAAAATGGAAACAGTTTCCTGCCCAAGAATCCCCCTAACAATATATTAAACCTGCATATGGACAGTCAGTCTGTCTGCCTGCCTGTCTGCCTGTCTGCCTGCCTGTCTGCCTGCCTGTCTGCCTGCCTGTCTGCCTGCCTGTCTGCCTGCCTGTCCTGCCGCCTGCCTGCCTGCCTGCCTGTCTGTCTGCCTGTCTGCCTGTCTGCCTGTCTGCCTGCCTGTCTGCCTGTCTGCCTGCCTGCCTGCCTGCCTGCCTGCCTGTCTGCCTGCCGGGACAGATTTAGGGACCAGAGGGATTGAATGTGCACTATTTCAGTGGATCGACTTGGGGTGCTTCTCAATAGTCTTAGGTAGCTTCATAAATCCCAATCCTCAGCTCCTGGCTGACTGGGTCTATATCACACTGATTATTGGCATAGATTTTAAAAGTTTAAAAAGTTTCATTCAGATCGATTTTTTAAAAAGTATTTCTGTTTGAACAGGGTTTGTTGTCAATAACTGATCACATGAGGTCATACACCAACATACCAGATGGTATGATAGGCTGAGAACACGTGTAGCACAACCGGTACATATTAGCTGTTAAAGTTGGTTCGTCTTGCTTTAAAAGTGAAGAAATAGGCTAGCCGAGTCATGATTCACTATTATTCAGTCAAGTATTATGACAGTTCTTGATGAACCAATCGCTCTAATAAATGGGTTTTTGAGAAGAGAGCACTGCACAAAAGCAATATGCTGAAGATTTAAAAAGAACTCAAGCTTTCCCCTCACAGCTCACACAAACGTGGCACCTTTTCTATTTGGTTTTAGAATGTTGTAAATACGTGTGGAGTTAACATTTCAATAGCAACAAGCTGACCAAATAATATCCAAGCTTCATAACCAGGTCAGGGATCATATTTGGACAGCTTTCAAATTACTGAAAATGTGCTGAAATGACAAAGTCCAATTCCATCAAATAAGGCCTAGATATCACAGAAAACATGGTCAACTATCTTGCAGACCTGGGATCAGAGTTTTACTATTTAGTGCATCCAAGATAATCCTTTCAACAGGTCCAGGTCCTGACCACATCATCACCAGACTAGCCTAGGGTACATCCTGAAATACCCTGATATTTTACAACAAGCTATAGGCCTACAGCAGGAGGACAGAGAGACATGGGGGAACAGGTACTGAGAACACAGTATATAGCAGACAGAGACATGGGGGAACAGGTACTAAGAACACAGTATATAGCAGACAGAGAGACATGGGGGAACAGGTACTGAGAACACAGTATATAGCAGACAGAGAGACATGGGGGAACAGGTACTAAGAACACAGTATATAGCAGACAGAGAGACATGGGGGAACAGGTACTGAGAACACAGTATATAGCAGACAGAGACATGGGGGAACAGGTACTAAGAACACAGTATATAGCAGACAGAGAGACATGGGGGAACAGGTACTGAGAACACAGTATATAGCAGACAGAGAGACATGGGGGAACAGGTACTGAGAACACAGTATATAGCAGACAGAGACATGGGAGAACAGGTACTGAGAACACAGTATATAGCAGACAGAGAGACATGGGGGAAACAGGTACAGAGAACACTATCTAACAAACAGAGAAACACGGGCGAACAGGTGCGTCCTTTTTATTCACGCCAAACTTGGTGCAAAACCACGCCCACAAGAAACCTAGCAACATTCAAAGCCGTGCTGATTGGTCACAGTTCGGTTGTTCCCTGTAAGAAGTAAAGAAGGAAGAACGCTAGAGGGGGAGTCCCCAACAAAACAAAACATTGCCATCCATACTTTGCATTTTCCCGAATTTGGATATGAAGTTGCATTAAACTATGTAGCTTTTTAGTGACTGATTGCAGCCAGCCTTACCAGATGGATAGCATCGACATCATGGATAGTTGTGAATTATATCAGGTGTTAGCTGAAGCGGTCTAGTAGTGTGCCTCTAGCGTTAACCACTCTAATCTAAGTGTTTACGAAAGGACTATTGAGATACTTAGCTACAGTGAGCGAACAGTGAGTCTTCATATTCATGCATAAAAAAAACAAATAATGAAAGAAAATCATTGCAAGTTTTAATTTTGTAAAGTTAGTGTGGGAGAGGTGGAAAAATAATTGTTAACGATCAATAATGGCAAACCTCCTGGCATTGACAACTTAGATGGAAAGCTACTGAGGATGGTAGCTGACTCTATAGCCACTCCTATCTGTCATATCTTTAATCTGAGTCTAGAGGAAAGTCTTTGTCCTCAGGCCTGGAGGGAAGCCAAAGTAATTCCGCTACCCAAGAGTGGTAAAGCAGCCTTTACTGGTTCTAACAGTGTTGTGGAAAATAACCACCATACTTTATTACAAATACGGTCTTACAGAGTTTTTGTTGCATCAAGAAATGACTTTATTAAAGTTTTCAACAAAGCCGATACCCGTCTGCAGAGGGGCACACACACTTAAGAGGGTCTCCCTCCATCTTATATAGTCCTCTTCAGTTTTCCCGCTCTTTTATTGCTCCGCCCACTTCCTTTGTCCCAAAGGACGGCTGAACTATTACTCCAACCAATCACCCGCTCCCCTGTCTTGCACACACACTCATGTTTAGTTTAAACATGACAAGGCCCTAAATTACACAAACCTCAAGCTGTAATCAAATCAAGAAGACACCAAGGAGACAAAGGTCTAGCCCAAACTCTATTCAACCCTTCACTGTGTTTGAAGAGAGAGACAAAAACAAACGGCCCAATTCAGTTAGCCACAAAGAATGTTAACTATATGTTCATGATTAACTCAATTTTATCTGATAATCCATTAAAAATACACATCAACAGCAGACCTATAAGCTTGCTGCCAGCTCTTAGCAAACGGTTGTAAAGAATTGTGTTTGACCAAATACAACGCTATTTCTCTGTAAAACAAATTAACAGACTTTCAGCATGCTTATAGAGAAGGGCACTCAACATGTACTGCACTGACACAAATTACTGATTGGTTGAAAGAAATTGATAATAAGAAGATTGTGGGAGCTGTACTGTTAGATTTCAGTGCAGCTTTTGATATTATTGACCATAACCTGTTGTTGAAAAAACGTATGTGTTATGGCTTTTCAACCTCTGCCATATCGTGGATTCTGAGCCATCTAATAGAACTCAAAAGGGTTTTCTTTAATGGAAGCTTCTCTAATGTCAAACATGTAAAGTGTGGTGTACTGCAGGGCAGCTCACTAGGCCCTCTACTCTTTTCGATTTTTAACAATGACCTGCCAGTGGCATTAAACAATGATTCAACCATATACACATCTGCAACCACAGCAAATGAAGTCACTGAAACCCTTAACAAAGAGTTGCAGTCTGTTTTGGAATGGGTGGCCAGTAATAAACTGGTCCTGAACATCTCTAAAACTAAGAGCGTTGTATTTGGTACAATACAAGTTCTATACCTTTTTTTTCTTCTTTTTTTTCAGCTGAATCTGGTAATGAATGGTGTGGCTGTTGAACAAGTTGAGGAGACTAAATTACTTGGCGTTACCTTAGATTGCAAACTGTCATGGTCAAAACATATAGATTCAATGGAAGTAAAGATGGGGAGAGGTCTGTCGTAATAAAGAGATGCTCTGCTTTTTTGACACCAACTTCCAAAAAGCAAGTCCTGCAGGCTCTAGTTTTGTCTTATCTTGATTATTGTCCAGTCATGTGGTCGAGTGCTGCAAGGAAAGACCTAGTTTATCTGCAGCTGGCCCAGAACAGAGCGGCACGTCTTGCTCTTCATTGTATTCAGAGGGCTGTTATAAATACTATGCATGCCAGTCTCTCTTGGCTAAGAGTTGAGGATAGACTGACTGCATCACTTTTCTTTTTATAAGAAACATGTGTTGAAAATCCCAAATTGTTTGCGTAGTCAACTTACACACAGCTCTGACACACTTACCCCACCAAACATGCCACCAGGGGTCTTTTCACAGCTCTGACACACTAACCCCACCAGACATGCCACCAGGGGTCTTTTCACAGCTCTGACACACTTACCCCATCAGACATGCCACCAGGGGTCTTTTCACAGCTCTGACACACTTACCCCACCAGAAATGCCACCAGGGGTCTTTTCACAGTCCCCAGAACAAATTCAAGAAAGCGTACAGTATTATATAGAGCCATTATTGCATGGAACTCCATTCCATCTCATATTGCTCAAATGAACAGCAAGACCTCATGGCTCAACGCCTCTCCCTAAAGGACTACATTTACTTTAGACTTTCAGGAAATGTATATCAGAGAGCTAATTGGTTCACCTCTCATTTCCTGGGTGCTCAAAACGGCAACAAATTCAACAGAGGCTAATCTACCCATCTCACCATGGGACACCAAGAGCTACAGTAAATCTATTCCAGCTGACACTCACTACCACACACAATGTTAACATTACATCAGAAACACACGACTTCAAACACGTAGCCTAGACATGGTAGGATTGCAACACTAGACAGTTATAGGGTGAGTGAACGAGGGAATGGAGCAGTTGAGGGAAAAATGCAAAGAAAGAGAAAAAAAAGGAGGTACTGCACTAGAGGTTTCAGGGTTCGAGGACAGAGGAATAGACAGCATAGACTTGTTGATAGAAACATCAAAGAGGGAATTAAAAGAGGGAGAGGGCAATAACTTCACAATCTATGGTAGCATTGTAAGATACAAGTTACAGAAAAGACAAAGGAGAAAGTCAGGCTTGAAAGGAGGCGCCAAAAGGTGTAAAAAGTATTGTTCTACAGTACCTGAAGCAGAGCTGTCTAGTTCTCCCAGTATCTCTTTCAACACATCAGAAAGTTTGCAGGATGACAAAGGGGGTGGGAGAAAATAAGGAATGGGAGGGAATTGTTGCTCACTGTCACGAACAGAGCCATTTGATACGTTAACCTCCTTTTTACGCCCTCCTTTACTGAAACGTGTAAGTACCTGGTAGGTTAAAAGTCTAAAATTAGAAGGTCGAAGTTCAACTGAAGACTAGCCTAGCTGGAATCAGGTTTGTTATTAAAGTAAAGTATACGTGTCCTAGAGAAGAGTTGCATACTAAACAAAACTGGTCATCAGTATTTGAGAAAGAAAAGCAAGCTGAATTCAGTCAAGGCAACTGAACTGTATCCGTGTCACTTCGTTACTTTTGTTTTGACAGCTAGCTACATTGTAGTTCGACTATCGCTTGCCTGTCTAAAATACATTTTACACAGCAACAACTTGGCAAACGTAATTCCCAAATTAATAATGTAATATCAGAAAATGGCTACAATAGTTTGAATAACAAACGTTGTGACCAACTTACAACTATTTTACAATTTCAAAGACCAAATGGCAAGCAAGCTAACTTACTAGGTAGCTTGTGATCCCTCACTGTAATTACCAGCTAACTAGTGCATGTGATTGATTGCATGACCGAGACTGAATGTCTGCACACCATTGCAACCACAATTTGAATTAGAAATGGCAATATTTGAACATCTCCATATTGTTAACGTTAGCTAGCTTACATTCTAGCTAGCCAAGTTAGCAATCGAGCTGTTCATAAATCAAATGTTAGCTAGCTAGTTCCATAACGACCTAGCTCACGGCTAGATAAATCAAGTCCAATTGATCAAACTAGCTTCTGACAACTAACGTTAGCTAAGCAAGAGTACAATTCCCACCTCACCTTTTGTCATTTGCCCCTTGCCCCGGTAGGACGTGTTGCTTGCTATCTGGAAAGCCAGCTTTGATGTCGAATAATGGTTTTTCAGTTGGATCGTCTTTACTCTCACTTTAATTCCTCTCCGTTTTGCCCACCGGTGTCAGTGCCTCACTGTACGTCCAGTTCCCATTTCCTCCCCTCTTTCACCCCTCACTGCCAATGCTCACTACATTGGATCCGCCATTTGTGTTCAGTTTTTTTATATATATATCAACATAGGAATTCACAGAGGTGAATTTGCGATAAGCATCGTCCTTTTCACCGCTGTTCTCCTACCAATTCCGTCCAAGCCAGTATGCGTGTTTCACTGGCTCTTGATGGTATTTTTCATTTGACACCACCTAATTGTACACGCTCCACCCTACTTCCGGATTGACTCATTAAGCAAGGCCAAGCCCCCTAACCTGGTCATGGCTAGAAGGGATCCAGCTTTTGTCAAATTAACGCTACAAGTTTTTTTGTTGTTGTTTTGTTTTACATTTTAGCTAACCCTAAACCTTTTCCTAACCTTATTTTAATTCTCAAAACCTGCTGCGTAAATTCTCCTAACCTGCGACGAAAAGTCAAATCTGACGTTAATTTGACAAAAGCTGGATCCCTTCTAACCTCGGCTTTCATCCTCATTCCCTTTACAATTTTCCCTAGCAACAAAGTGCCCTGACAACCGTCATAAGGGCGGGGCGCTCTGGCGAAATTGGCAATTTTTCTGCTATCTTTCTGGGTTGTATTCATTACGTCTTGCAACGGAAACCGTTTACCGTATAAGAACCAAACGGCAAGAAAGCTAAACAAAACGGGGAGGGACCTACCTTTTTTTCGTTGCAAAATGTTTTGTAACATAATCGGCGTAATGAATACACACCCCTGTTGTGCCTGTGGTCAGCAAGCAAGCAGGCCAAAGACAGTACAGTATGAAGATAGGGGATTTCTATTGGAGAAGCAGGTTTCTGCCTATCACACTTGTAGGCGATGTCAGGTGCGAAATTGGCCAGCTAAAATCGTTCGTAGAAAAACGTCAGGGTCTAATGGTCGTCTCGCACCGAACTGCGCATGTGCAGGCAGGCAGTCAAAGCCTTTACATTTACATTTTAGTCATTTAGCAGACGCTCTTATTTATCCAGAGCGACTTACAGTTAGTGAATACATATTACTTTTTTTATACTGGCCCCCCGTGGGAATCAAACCCACAACCCACTGAGCTACATCCCTGCCGGCCATTCCCTCCCCTACCCTGGACGACGCTGGGCCAATTGTGCGCCGCCCCATGAGTCTCCCGGTCGCGGCCGGCTGCGACAGAGCCTGGATTTGAACCAGGATCTCTAGTGGCACAGTTAGCACTGCGATGCGCCACTCAGGAGTTCATGTAAAGTTTGATGTAAAGTAGTTTTTGACGAAAATGAAAACGTGTGTGTCACTTTGACGAAGTTGGAGTAAGAACATGTTCAACTACTTAAGACATTGAGCTCGAATCTAGGTTGTGCCTTTAGATTTCGAGAAAATTAACAACAGTCCCGTGTAGCTCAGTTGGTAGAGCAAGGCGCTTACAACGCCAGGGTTGTGGGTTCGATTCCCACGGGGGACCAGTATGAAAATGTATGCACTCACCGTCTGCTAAATGACTAAAAATGTAAATGTAATTATTGACTTCTCAAACCCCAAACTCTGGTCTGTTTCACAAACGTTCCCGGAAGTCTCGCGATGTTGCTTTTGCGCGTCTGGGTTTAGAAACTCTGTGAATAGGCGTAGGGGAGTTTCCAGAGTTTCCAACAACTAGATGCATACGATTTTCATAAACCCCGCCCATTTCGACAATTTATTTTCTTAAAATGTGATTTTAAACCTAGCCTTCACCACACTGCTAGTTTATGCCTTACCCTAACCAAAAAGCTAAATGTTGTTTTCATGAATTTCTACGTCCAATTTTGACTGTGGCTGTGGAAACCGGGATCCAGCCAGTTTCCATGCCAATAAAGCCTTTGAATTGAATTGAAAGGAGCTTTGACAGAGATATTAGACAGGGAGGAGATAAGAATTCCAATGGAGCAACGTACAACGCTCCGCCCAGCAGACTGTCGACCAATCGCGTCCACGTTGTCATGGTGCGCCACGCGATCCCTTCTAATGCCGCGTTCAGGTGCTAGTCGGAGGTAGGAAACTCTGACATTTCCGACCTGCTAACTGGTTGAACATAGCATCTTTTTGTAGGCACTAACTCCACCACGTTTCATTGGAAAAAGCCTATGGAGAAAATTAATGGCGTTTTTGTAGGGCTTTTGGATAAATGCCGAAAATAAGGTCTGTGGTAAACACAGGTTTAGTAGATTATCATGCTGAAACATGAGGTGATGGCGGCGGATGAATGGCATGACAATGGGCCTCAGGATCTTGTTACGGTATCTTTGTGCATTCAAAATGGCCATCGATAAAATGCAATTGTGTTCATTGACCCTAGCTTATGCCTGCCCATACCATAACCCCACCACCACCATGGGGAACTCTCTTCACAACATTGACATCAGCAAACTGCTTGCCCACACTACGTCATACACGCTGTCTGCAATCTGCCCGGCACAGTTGAAACCGTGATTCATCCAGTGAAGAGCACACTTCTCAAGCTTGCCAGTGGCCATTGAAGGTGAGCATTTGCCCACTGAAGTTGGTTACGACGCCAAACTGCAGTCAGGTCAAGACCCTGGTGAGGACTACGAGCACGCATTTGAGTTTCCCTGAGACGGTTTCTGGCAGTTTGTGCAGAAACTCTTTGGTTGTGCAAACCCACAGTTTCATCAGCTGTCCAGGTGGCTGGTCTCAGACAATCCCACAGGTGAAGAAGCCGGTTGTAGAGGTCCTGGGCTGGCGTGGTTACACGTGATCTGCAGTTGTGAGGCCGGTTGGACGTACTGCCAAATTCTCTAAAACAATGTTGGAGGCGGCTTATGGTAGAGAAATTAACATTACATTAATTTATCTTGGCAAAGGAGTAATGCTCACTAACAGGGAAAGTAATGCTCACTAACTGGGAGTGTGATGCCAGGAAAAATAACCTCTCACTCAACATCAACAAAACAAAAGGAGATGATCGTGGACTTCAGGAAACAGCAGAGGGTGCACCCCCCTATCCACATCGACGGGACAGCAGTGGAGAAGGTGGAAAGCTTCAAGTTCCTTGGCGTACACATCACCGACAAACTCAAATAGTCCACCCACGCAGACAGTGTGGTGAAGAAGGCGCAACAGAGCCTCTTCAACCTCAGGAGGCTGAAAAAATTTGGCTTGGCACCTAAAACCCTCACAAACTTTTACAGATGCACAATTGAGATCATCCTGTCGGGCTGTATCACCACCTGGTACGGCAACTGCACCGCCCGCAACCGCAGGGCTCTCCAGAGGGTGGTGCGGTCTGCCGAACGCATTATCGGGGGCAAACTACCCGCCCTCCAAGACACATACAGCACCCGATGTCACAGGAAGGCCAAAAAGATCATCAAGGACATCAACCACCCGAGCCACTGCCTGTTCACCCCGCTATCATCCAGAGGTCAGTACAGGTGCATCAAAGCTGGGACCAAGAGAATGAAAAACAGCTACTATCGCAAGGCCATCAGACTGTTAAATAGCCATCACTAGCACATTAGAGGCTGCTACTGCCTATTGAAATCACTGGCCACTTTAATAATGTTTACAGTCACTTTAATAATGTTTACATATCTTGCACTACTCATCTCATATGTATATACTGCATTCTATTCTATAATAATATTCTTCTGTATCTTAGTCCATGCCGCTCTGTCATTGCTTGTCCATCTATGTATATTTCTTAAATTCCATTCCTTACTAGTTTTGTGTGTATTAGGTATATGTTGTGAAATTGTTAGATATTACTTGTTAGATATTACTGCACTATCGGAGCTAGAAGCACAAGCATTTCGCTACACCTGCTATAACATCTGCTAAACACGTGTGTGACAAATACGATTTGATTTGAAACAAATTTGTGCACAACATTTGAGAGAAAAGCTTTTTGTAGGTATGGAACATTTCTGGGATATTTTATTTCAGCTCATGAAACATGGGACCAACACTTTACGTTGCATTAATTTTTTTGTTCAGTGTAATATTTGACTAAAACATAATCATGTCAAACCTTGCTTATATTTGTATATGATCACATAGATCTCTCTATTATACGTGGGAATACTTTGGAACAGATTTCCAAAATGAAAATCACTTGGAGATGATTTTTTTCTGGTGTTTTTACACAATAAAATAAAATAAAAACACTTTTGCTCTGAAAACTTGGGGGGCCAAATAAAATCACCAGCGGGCCAAATTCGGCCCGTGGGACGCCAGTTGAGGAACCCTGGGATAGAGTATGCCATTTTATGATGACAGACACAAGTGGTATTATTTGAATAATTTATTATTTGACATTCATGCCTATATGGCTTGACTCCAAGCAAGGGCCACCACTGCATGCAGTGGTAGGGTCACTACTGTAGTTAATCCAGGGTCAGGCTTGCAGTTCTTGCATGTTCAATAGCAGAAAACCTGGTAGTCCATGATTAACAGACAGTCAAGTTGTCCATGTAGAGGGAGGTAATCTCTCTCTCTGTTACTGACTGCGTCCCAAATGGCACCCTATTACCTACGCTGTGCACTGCTTTTGACCAGGGTCCTTGGAATTCCCACCATAGTGGTCATCACTAGTTACCACAGCCACAAAGTTATAATTATGGCTAAACCCCGCCTATTTCTACAATTTATTTTCTTAAAATCGGATTTGAAACCTAACCCCTAACCTAACCACACTGCTAACCTTAATGCCTAACTCTAACCTTCATTGTTTAAAAAAAAAAGAAGCTAATTTTTGTTTTCATGAATATGATATAGCCAATCTTGACTTTGTGACTGTGATAACTAGTGAAAAACCCTACATAGTGCACTACTTTTGACCAGAGCCCTATGGGATTGCTATTTGGGATCCATTGTCTGTCTTTTAGTTGTTGTGTTTTGGAGGTCCCTGTAGTGTCGACAGCTGCTCCTCAATGTTCCTCAGCTCCTGATCCAAGGCTGAGATCTAAACAGATGCATCGCAGGGGAGGGAATAAAGACAGAATAATTAACAGAAATACAAAGCAACTTCTCTTTCAAGAGCATCTCATCAATGGTTTGCGTCCCAAAGGGCA